AAAATTTGTATTTTTTAAAAATTCTTTCACATTTAAAAATAAATCTATTACTTTTTTCTTTCAATAGTTTTTTTTTTTTTAATAATTATTCTGCCTAATCCTCTATGTAATTATATCTCTCCTGATCTTTGATTATGATTAACTCTGTTTATAAATTTCATTGTTGATCTAATAATATTATTATGGTATTCAAAAACTCACTTGGATGGAATATGCTCAAATTTTTGTTCCATTTTGATTTATTACAAAATTTTTATTTTATTCAACAAAAGGATCTGCATAAATTTGGCCAATCAAAATTTCTTCTAAAGAAATTTCCAGAACGTTTATCATTTATAAATTAGGAAATACCAAATTTAGCATATTCCCTGACTGTACTCTTAAGCCTGTTTCACGTGATACATTACTCACATGACTAAGTTTTGGATTTTTATTGGTGATTAGTTAATATTCATAGTGAAATTGCTTTAAAAAAATTTTTTTTTTACAATCTAAATCAAATGGAGAATTACATGAAAATTCTGTAATAGTAAGCTTTTAATAATTGATTGTAAACACAGAACACAAGACCTTGATGTGTCTTTACAGAAACTTGAGAGATGTTGAGTATTGGTAATTTGCTTTTTGGTGTCTCTTAAATATTACTGTTGGTATTAAATGAGCATTAAAATATTTGACAATCTTCTTGCAGTCTTTCACAACTACACCCACCCATGATGCTTTAGCAAAATTATTAGTCAAAAGATGAAGGATGTATCCTAAAAACAATCACCAGGATAGTTTTTCTTTATGCTTTTTCATTACTTTAGCATTGTCTGTCACCACTGCTGAAAGTTTATTGATATACAAAGTTAATAAACCTCTTCTAACATTATCAACTGTTTGACAAATTTCATCATTAATATTTGCTTTTAAAAACCAGGCTTTGGAGTAGTCAAGATATAATTCATTCAATGCTTGTGTAATGCCTGACCTATTAATAAATAAATAAATAAATTTTTTTCCTTGAAAAGGCCATATAATTTTTATTTGATATTGAATTACAAAATAAATTGTAATATTGAGGCTGCTACTCTTGTTATTTTTATTATGTATTTAAACCTAGATTTTAAAAATTAATATATGAATGCACATATAAAAATGTCAGCTACTTACCAACCATCTGAAACCAAGCTTATACTATATATTCTGCACTTTCAATTAATCTCTTAACCTCTTTTCTTGTTTTGGTCAATCAAGCAATTCATTGAAAATTTTAGTAACATCAGTGCTTGTAATCTTGAAATAATTGTCATCTTCTGGTCAATTGATATGATTTTAACTCAAAATTTTAC